TAGTTTAGATATTGTTTGCCGCTGCAACGACTAACTAGTAGGATATTGCGTGCGTACGAGAGCAGACGTTCTATTGGGTTGTCCGAGATAGTTGCAGATAAGTAGTGTTTTTCAGATTAACACACGAGGAAGTTAAATGTTACCCGTTGAAGAAACATTAAAAAGTTCTGCTTGTAAAAAGTAGAAGTAGCAACGAGCGAGGAACTTGCACGTAGTATTCGGTAAGTCCAGGGACGTTTTCGCAAAAGATAGGCTATCAGGGCAAGTTAGGCTGGCCCGTCCGATGCCGGTGCACAGACGAGGAAGAAGAAGTAGCCTAAAGGGGATGACCGAGGGCGCACCGTGCAGGAGGCGAGGAATCGCAGGGTTGGGAAGAAGAAGGACGCATAGAAGGCAACGCAGACGGCAGAGGCGAAATCCCGTCTCATCTTACGACGGGCAAGAGGGCGACCGAACGGGCCTAACGCACGCGACCAGCCACGACATCAAGGCAAAATTGGGAAATCTACGAGGTAACAGTTAAAAATCGCAGAAATAGGTCAGATTCCACTGTCGGCAGGGAACTAAGTATATAGGAAATGGTAATTTGGGAACGGGTGGTACAAATCACAGTATTTTTAGGTAGGAACGGTTTTGGCGCTATTGCTGCCTAAAAACATTCTATACTATAGGACAATATTATTATTTCGTATTTTCAGACCAGTTAAAATTGTAAATTAAGAGTGTGCACGTGAAACACATTTGTTTCTTTATGTAATAGTTTCAAGCGAGAGATTGTAAATTGAATTTTTGATTTCACGTGCAATTAACTAGAATAGCATAAATTAGATATAATTAATTTTCCAAGGAATTCCAGTGGTAGTTTAGCGTTAATTATGGTCAGGAGTATAATTTTCAAGTCAAATTAGTGTTCTTTCATATGAGTGTGTGTTGTAAAGGTTTCTATTTGTGTTTGATCTATTCTTTGTAAAGAGTGTGATTCGTATATTTTGGTTTCTGTTCATCAACTTTGCCCTAAAGTTTATGGTAAATTAATCGCTCGTTTGTGTGCAATCGTTGGATTTTATTGTGCAAGGGTTCAAACTTTCCTCGACCTGAAATCCTCCTCCTAGATTTTTTTAAAGCTCGCTCAACGAGCAAATCTTGATAAAAACGCTACGGTTCATGCCTCTACCGTGATAGGGAAGTTGTGTGTGTGGTGGGTATGTTAGATAATATATATTATATATATATATATATATATATATATATATATATGTGTGTGTGTGTGTGTGTGTGTGTGTGTGTGTGTATGATACTATGTAATGTTATGTATGATCTGTAATAATCGGTCGCAAACGAGCCCATCAACTCCTTATTGCAACAAGGCTGATAGCAAACACACATTTTTATTTGCGCCATTTATTCTTGAGAAAATACATTTTTTGGGATTTCAAAAAATCAAACAAAAAATGTGTATGGAGGAATGAAATTCCCGAAACACGTCACAGTAGCAATGAGTAAATAATTTACCTTTATCAAATTCACAACACAATTATTCTAAATATTGGAAAAAAATTAATATATACAATGTCTGGTGCAAACGACACAAGGGAATTTCAAAATAAACAAATTGGCATGTTTTATAGTTCACATGAATTAAAAGTAATCTAGAAACTGAGTAATTTTATTTTATAATATCACAAATATTATTTTCAAGTAACAAAATTATCTTTCATGTATATTCCAAAAATGTGAAGCACAGCAAAAATATTTATTACAAGAGATGAATACGATTACTTAGCGATTGTAATCAGATCTGATCCTATCTGATGAAATTTGTTGTACCTAAATTTCTTTCTCGGTTAGTTCTCAGTCTTTAAAAATAGCATATACTATGAGAAGGATGTTTAAGACATTAGTAACATATTTCAAAACCCGTTTTCCGAACACGAATCGTACTTAACTAAAAGCGAAAATATAGAATAAAATGTAATGAACTTAACAGGTTTTATAACAATAGACCGAACAATTAGAATTCAGATTCACTTCCGTTGCGCCACGGAGTCGCGTGGCTGCGGCTAATAGCTTGCATTATCAGAGAGACGTTTCTGAACGTGAACTAATGCTCTCCATCATTGGGATCCAAAAAAACAACGACCACTGACCCCGACATGATTCGAACACGCAACCTTCTGATCTGGAGTCAGACGCACTACCGTTGCGCTATGGTATCAGCTGCTTTGAGGCATCATCTTTCTTCAATAGGAATGTTTCTCAAATGGAAATGAGTCTCATACTCATGGCGTCGTAATAAAATACCAACCAATAACCCCGCCGTGATTCGAACACGCCACCTTATGATTGCAAGTAAGGTACACTACCGTTTCACAGAGACACCTAGTAAAAGTAGAAAATATTTAAACTCTAAAAAATATAATGTTTAAATTTGCTCTACATCAGCATTTTTGAGGAATAAAGATTTTCGATCATATTTTAACAGCGACTGAAAAAGTGTTTCACCACAACAGACGTAATTGTACATTTTCGTGCACCACAAATGAATGTTTTATTCGTAATATTAATTACGTTAGTTTTGTACTCAATATTGTTTACGTGGAGCCAGTGTTCAAGGTTACATACCCCCCTTAAATGCAACAACCCGATAAAACAATGATCTCTAAAAATTATTTGTTAGTTTTTGATTGAGTTACGTATGGTGTCTTCTAAACATTAGCAAGTACATTATTGAAATTACTTCCACTTCATAAACACCCTTTAGTTCTTGATTCCGAAAATGAAGGAAGCATCAAATCGGGGAAGCGGAGGGAGGGGGGTTAGTTTGACAATTCAAGGTGAATGTACGGTGGTCTCGAAAGCGCGTTATCATTAAATTACACTGTAAGAAAGGCTGTTCGAGTTATATTTATTGCAAACTTGCATCTGAAATATTCCCTTTGAAGAATATATTAACATGTAATAAAATGTGTAAAACATATATAGTTTTGGGTAAAATATGTAAAAATATATAATTTTTTTTATTCATGCAGAATATATTGTTAACTGTAAAAGTATTATTGAATGCAGGTATCTTTTTCGTGTAAATAAATGTATGTACATAATTATTCCCTAATTGTTAGATTAGAAAATGTACTAAGAAACAAAACCACTGTTCAAGGAAATAATAATTTTATACTAGTTGATAGAACTAAGGAAGTAGAATTCTATAGTTATTTTGCATGACTCGGAGTTTTGATCACCTATTTTGTTGTTTTTCATTACTTTTGTCCCACTTTTGAATTTGTTGTATTTTCAGGAAATACAGTAAACCAATATTAACGATAATTCCAAAGGACCGAAGTAATCGGTGTTCGTGTTAAAAAAACCTTATGCGATTATTGTAAACGATGGTTTTACTGTAATCCTTTGCCGGATCCAAGTTTTGTTCCTGTTACGGCGAAATTCGTGTTAAGCGAGTTCGTGCTAACGAGGGTTTACTCTAGAATTATTTTGTAGTGAATTACTAACAGCTGTAATTGTATACATTGCTGTTGTAAAACGTAGCACATACCATAAATATATCCGCTGCTTCTAATAGAGTAGGTTGCTGAATTGCAGCTATTGTGGTGTGCAATTGGTGAACGGGTGCCGCCAGTGCTTCGAGAATAGACTGCATCTGTGTGTCCGGCAGTAACTTGACACTTTCTGTGTGTGCCGCTGCTTGTTGAACCTGAAGAGAAAGTGAAATTCGGTTCAAATTGCATTTTTTTATTATCTTGCTGAAGTACCCTGCGTTGCTTGGAATTTATTGAAAATTATCTTATTACACACGCAATGGAATGAATTAGATGCATACTGGAATGAATAAATAGTATTTTTTCGATTGTTTTGATGGTCATAAGCACGATGTTTCATTAGATTGGAATAACAATAGATTTGCTTACAAAACTAGCAAATGAAAAACGTTATTTATGGAATTGAAGATAATAATTTGAAAAAAAGTAGTTATGCCCACCAAAACAATCTACTTTTCAATAAAAACCACATCTAAATCGGTTAAACCGTTCTCTAGATTACCCTAAGCAGATACAAACAAATTGTAAAATTAATTTAATTGGGTTTATAGCACCTAAATAAACATTTAAGATTAAAAAATTCATGTAGTTATTGTAGTCCTTCTACATTACATGTACTTCCTTCCGCTTGAAACCAGATTTGAAATATGCAATCACTAGAACTCATTGTGTGAATACGAAAGAAGAGTAAACTATTTAAGCCTAAAATATATTCCACAACAAAGTGTAACTAGTATGAGTAAATATAAATTAGTCTTGTTATAGCAGTTGCATGAAAGACATAAAATCCCAATGAAATTACATTTGTCACAGATCAAGAAATTAATTGTATTGTAAGAATGAAATAAATCACAATATAAATATTCTGAAAATTATTGTTTCATTAAACAATGCATTTTGGTGATTTGGTTAAAGTTTCAATTACTTAAAATAAAGTTAAATAGGAAGAGTTGCATGCTACATAAAAAGTTATCTTGCTTATTCGTTTTGTTTCCTTCCCAGGTAAATAAATCTAAGCACTATACACAATTGACACAATTCTGTATTTATAATACTATACCTACACAATACTGTATGTACTTTGAAATATTTTTTACGTTTAGGGACTGCATTTCTATTGCCATTTTACATAGAATTTTTAGGCATAACCATGGAGTTGTACGTAATTCATCATACCTGAGCGATAAACATATGTATTTGGCGGACAGGAGCCGCAATGGTTTTGAGGAGTTCCACATCTGTACGTTCTGACATAGGCTCCAATCCAGCTTCAAGAACTTGTTGGTGAACTTGGGCAAGAGCTAACTGAAGTTCGTGTACAGGAGCTGCTAAAGTATGCAGCTGAGTCATTGCAGTGCATTCTGACATGTCTTCTGCTCTCGCCTCCATCATCTATGTAAACAGGAAGTAAAGTAGTTTTAGAGTTGCGTATGAGTAGTATATAATACTTTACAAATCAATATTAGAATAGTATTAGTTATTAGAAGTATATTCAGAAATATCACGTTTAATATAGTCCTAATAAAACATGTTAAAACATATGTTTCTTAGATTTAAATTTCCAATTCAATGGTCTTAGTTTTGAAGATACGAGGCAATGATTCTTCAGTTACGATATATTAGTTTTGTCATGTATGTATATATAGTAATTAATACAGACGATGATTCCAGTTTTATGTAAGGTTTGAGCGTTTTCATCTTATGGCACTGGTGTGGAACACTGGTGTTATATCTCTGGCAATGGTAAACCAAAATAAAGGGGACAAAATTAGATATCTAAACACTGACGTTATCTAATTTATAGCTCAGTCTAAGTGCCAACCTTAAAATCACTATATTGCTGATGCATATTATAAACGCATAAAACGAATAAAATCAACATCACCAAATTAATTCCTAAAATAATTATTCTGAAATTCTATCAGTGTGAGAAACCCACCCTTTAATTACCTTAACTGAATTTAGCACCATACCATCCAAAGCTATATTCCCGATAAAAAATAAAATTGCGACTTTGTGGCACAGAATGGATCTTACATTAAATTATAACAAGTGTTATTTTTATTATTTTATTTTCTGGTGTTCCATTTTCTCCAGAAACTCCAGCTCCTGTGAAAAATTATGTATCGTCACATACGAATTACTCGAAACCCGTCGCGAATACTTATGGGCAGACTCCCAAAAAATGAATAGAAATCTTCATCGTCGTGAGGAATGAATGAAGGGATATATCTGGCAATGTTTTCTTGGTTACAGAAATTTTTTTCGTTAATATATGACAATGTAGTGGTAGTGCCAATGGTTGTGGTTTCATAGCCGTAAAAACGTGGTAGATCAAACTTTTGACAGAACTTCCTTTTGTGTAACCGTTTCATCTGTGAGAGTTAACATTACGGCGGAGGGCACTGATTTCAAAGTTTATCCTTTCACTGCTAAACTACCTTTTGTCTCTTCCGAAAAGGAAGTTTTCCTTTAGTAACCTTTCCACCAGATTTTAAAGACAACAGCTGTAGTTGATAATTCATGATGTAGCTGATATTTAATAGCGTATGAATTTACCCGGTGCAACACTTCGTATAATATGTTCAGTAATTTCAAGGACTGTGAAGATTCTTTACGTTTTAGAATCTACTTGCTTATCAGTCCAAGATTTTGGTAACATGATAAACACCTATGACCTCATAGAAAAATATTACTGAATATTTTCGAATTGGGTAGAATCTGTGATTGTCAAGTGATAGCGAGAAAGTGTCTGATTTTTGTTTCGTTCTGCGTAATTCTCAGAAAAATGATGTATCTCTGTTATATCGGGTGGAACATCTTTTAAAAAATTGATTGAAGAAAGAACACACTTGTTTTTATGTCATTTTCTTCACAGTAGACAAAGAGAGAGCTCTTCTTTTTGATCTTTAGTATGCAAAATATGTTAACAGTAAGTTGTCTTTAAAGACCAGCTACTAAACTACCAACTTCGATAACTATTCATTCGGCATGTAACCAATGACGGATAGAACATGAGTGAGTCTCTTTTTCCCCTTCATCAGACGCTCCTACTTCAGTGCAGACTACGACGTCTGGCTTCCGCGCATGTGGACCACTAGTTGAGCAACGCAGTTCGTCGTATTACCTGATTAAGAGGTGGGATTTAATTCTGAGATTCAGTTCTTCACAAATGCAGCAAGAATCGGTGTGTGGTCTTCCAGAATTTCTCCCGCATCTTCTCTTGTGTACATTTTCTTGAAAATGAATATATCAGAAACAAATAAATCGATTCGCTCTACTATGCAAGAAAAAACGAGCACAAGACTCAGAAGTTCTGTCCAGAGCTATGCTGCGAGATATACGGTTTACTCTGTACCACTCCATACTCTTCTTTTTAACGTAATAGTCGTTTAAAGAAGTCGCACAGGCGTAGTGCATACAAGATATTTAATATTTCCTGCTTGATATCAGTATTGTTTTGCCTAGTTTGTCTTATCGCTGCATTTTTCCTTTGATATTTAACCAAATTTTACTTCTAGTTGATTAATCACACACCACTGCAGCTCAGCATAGTACGATGCGTAAGTATTTGCATGAACTCTTTGTGAAAAATCAAAATAAATTTCAAGCACATAAAGGAAAAAAGGTTCAATCATTATTATTTGGTGTTAAAAAATAGCATTTTTTGTTGTTTCCAAAAATATGCTATCCTGCGAAACAGATTACCTAAATACTTTCTTCAATATGGAAACAAGCAAATCCTTACAATGTAAATTATGAGTTAAAATATGATTTCATTATGAAAAATTTTGTAGAATCTATTAATTTGTTTAACAAAAAATGTATGTAATTATCATATTAGGTGTAGTTTTGGTCAATGCATGGCGTAAAATTTAGTTTCTTCCGTGGTGTACAGAGAAAACTGCGTGATCACACCCCACAAAGCGGCACCGCACCCCGGATGCGAATAGACCTCCGGCAGCGAGGCGTCGGCAGCCTCAGGCGCATTCGCGCACGATCGAGGCCGGGTCCCTGCCCTGCTCCTGCCCCCCCCCCCCCCGGCATTGCACGTCGTGCTTGAGGGCGACGGGTGGGCTTTCTAATAAATTGGAGTGATTAGTAATGGAATTATAGTTTTTACATTCTCGTTGAAAAAAGTCGTTTTAAAACAAATATATTAAGAGTATACACTACTTAATGACGCAACATTGTGCTGAACATGAGAAAATGAAGCTTAAATAATTGCAAGGTCAATCTGAAGTCGTTGATATTAAGTTATGACAGATCTAATTCTTTATTGGACGAACGATACCAGGAGTTCATTACATTTTTCAATGGTCAAACTAATACTTAAATGTCTAAGAATTCTAAACAGTTATGACCATCACTTCGTAACTAAAAAATGAAAGCATAACGTATGTGTAAATATGATTGTTTGTAAACACGTAAATATTTGATTGTCAGATATCACAGAAAATGTTTTTCTTGATAATCCCATTTACACGTAACGAATAATTGAACCTTGGGCCGTTTTCTGACAACTTAACTTTTCGTACGGAATAATTCATGTGATTTAAGATCAATTAACAAAATGTTAGAAAAATATTTTTATTAAATGACAAAATGTTCAGCTTTAATTGAACTTCATCGTCTTGTAACGGACTTATATCATCCTTAGTTCAGTATAAATTTGAAATATTCACTGATTGTAACTAAGCTCAAATGAGGTCTGGGCTTAACTGGACACACTAAAAGCAAATTATACTATTTTCCACATATGCACATACTTCGATTCATAAATTCATTCTATGTACTCAATAATGTTTGTTTGAATATTATCAAGGGCTTCAAAATGTTGGATTTAGTAATCCTAGTTTTTCTAAGATCTCGTACTTTGGTCCCCTTTTATATTACAACGAGTATTTACTATGCATTAATTTGCCTTCAATATGGCAGGTGCTAATATTTTCATGTTACCAGGCCAACCACCCTTTAATTTTGGAAAACAACTCCAACGTATTTCAAGTGGAGTTTGCGCTGCAAATAAATGAAAAGGCGTGGAACGAAATTCTTCCCGAGTCCTTCCCCAAACCCGAGCGCGTGCGATGGCCCGCAGCCTCCACGCAGGTCCTGGGCGCCTGGTCGTGGCGGCCCCTTTCGCCCTGCCAGGTCGCGCTGCGGTTACCGAATCTGGGTCACGTTCGCATCGCCCTTCAGCCGCCAGGGCAGCGCCATCTGGAGACGACGCGATGTTCCCACACGGCACACGAAGTGTTTCAAAATGAAGTTAATGATAACATTTTTACGTGTTCTTTCGCAACGATCGGAGTGTACATTACTTCACACGATTCCGCACTTTGAGTATATTTAAGCCAATATAAGCCAGGTTCATTAATTTAGGAATCTAACGTGATTTTATCAATTTGAAGTAGCAACTGGTTATATTCTAAAAGAAAAAAATATTCATGAGTGAATTACATCACTGAGGAATAAGCAATGACACAATTTGCACATTCATTAGTAAAATGTTTCTAATATCTACATTTAAGAATTGAAATGAATGGGTATAATTTAATTATCAATATAAAAAATCGATTAGGTTTTTTAAGAAGTCTACAATCATGCATCTTAATGTGAAAAACGCTATTTTAATCTTGCGGCAAAATGTATATTAATTTAGTTTAAGAAAAAATAAGTAAAGAACAGGAAAGTACATTTATCTTTTCTGTGCATGTTTAATAAAAGCTGGTCTCACCATACATTATTGCATATATTTTTCACTTCATTAAGTAGTGAAGCATGATTTGCTGGCTCTGACCACAACCCTAGGTGTGGATACCCAACATTCAATATTTTTAAATTTCGTGTTTCTGCATACTTTCATGAAAATTCGAAGTCATTTGTAATTTGATGCATGGGCACTGGGCCACTGAGCACAGTTCCACAAGAACAGCGCGGTTTTAAAAAATGGATTTAGAAGATTTGCGAAAAAAATTCTAATGATTACAAATTAACATTTTGAATCTATGTATTGAATACATGGTAGAAATATGAGCCCGAATATCATATAATATAGAAAGTTGAAAACAAAGTGCAAAGAGTAATGTTTGACATCACTTCAAAGATCATGAGGAGAATAACAATATTGCGGAGTTCTCATTGTAGAATATTAGTATATATTTGATATAAAAACTGTGATAGAATATGTGAACGAATATAATTATTGATATCTTGCGAATTTTGTGTCTACTTCAAATTTCCATTGACGCAATAATGCGTGAAATGCCAGTTCCATCGAAATGTTTTCAAGTACCCAAAAACAAATGCAATTGGTTTCACCTGATGCAGAGATTTGTTTATTCATTATCACTTACGCTGTGTGCCAGCGAGTTGAAAGTAGGCCAGGTATCTTCAAGCAATGTTAATATGAATTACGTTCGGTAAGTATTTCAATGTTTACTTTGCCTGTACGATTCAAAAGTAGTTCTAGTAGCAGTTGCATCTAATGCTCAGACACTAGGATGATCTCCATGCCAACAAGTTTTCTACTGAAATATATATATATATATATATATATATATATATATATATATATATATATATATATATATATATATATATATATATTAAGAAGGGGGTAGGCTCTAGAGCTCAATAAAACGCGCGGAGATGGTACTTCTTCCTCACATTTCAGTGCACTTTTCACTGTTTTTAACAAAAATAGGTGATAATAAATTAAATGCAATTTAGAAATCGATTTGACATGTGATGAAAGGTAGAACAGCTATGAAGATTATTTGCGCTCATAATTGCATCTTCCGCATTCCAGAGCAACGCTTGGGTCCAAGGTGTATATTGGCAAGGAGGTGCTGCCCACATCGAAAAGCTGCCACTGCCACTCACATTTCTCGGTTCTTCGGGATGTAGAATTCACGTCAAGGCGAAAGTTTCAATGGAAAATATTTTATAAGTTGACATCTTTATCAACGCAACGCTTGGGTCCAAGGTGTATATTTTCTAGTTCAAATCCCAGGACGAACCAATTTACAAATCTCTAATAAATTCACGCGTAAAATCGTAACGACGGACCCATGGTCGACGGGCATTATTCTCGCTTTTGATTCCTAGTTCATATCTCGAATAGGCCTGCATAACTCAAATCTCACTTTCTTCACACATTGAAGGAGAAAGAGAGAGCAAGAGAGAGACAGAGAGAAAGAGAGAGACAGAGAGACAGAGAGACAGAGAGAGAGAGAGAGAGAGAAAGAGAGAGAGAAAGTATTGTCCATATTCTGCTGAGATCGTCGAATGGGTTTCTCAATTTTCGGAATGTGCGTCTTCAATTATTGAAATTAAAATGGGACTGATACTGAAATTCTGACAGTATAAAGTTGAATTTTTAATGTAGACATTGCTGTGTTAATTTCTTTCAACTACGCTATAATTGTGCTATAATGCTTATGTCACACACATTATATATTAACTAACCACATAGGAGCATTGCTTGTCATTTAAGAACATGAATCTTTTCGAAAATAGAATCGGGTATACGTGTTTCTTAGTTAAAATTTTAATTAATCATAACTTCGGGTTTCTTTTGGATTTCGCACTTCACAGTAATTATATAGATAAAAATGACTAATTTTAAAGAACGCGATTTCTAAAATACCATTCATAAGTATTGTTATAGGCTACAGCCTTCGTTTTACTGGCATAACGGGAGTTTGCGCGGGCTCACCTGCTGCTGGGCCTGGACCAAGTGCTGCTGCAGCTCGCGCAGCGGCTGGGCCAGCGTGTGCAGCGCGGCGAGGGAGGGCGCGTCGGCCAGCGACGCGTCGGGGGCCTCGACCAGTTGGTGCTGCAGCGCCGCGGCCACCGCCCGCGCGGGCTCCCGCGCCGACTCGGCCAGCGTCGCCAGCCCCGACGCCGTGGTGCGCTCCGACATCTGCGACGCCTCGCCCTCCAGCGCCACCTGCGCCTCCAGCTGCGCCAGCCCGCGCTGCAGCTCCAGCAGCGGCCGCGCCAGCGTCGCCAGAGCCGACGCCGACGCCTCCGGGGACAGCGTGCCGCCGGCCTCCAGCACCGCCGCTTGCTGCGCCTGACGCACCGCCGGGGTTAAGCCCTTTCCTTCCTACGTTCATCTCTTCAAGTACGTATGTATAAGTGACATTTTATATATCTTGAGAAATACATTTATTTGAAGCTATATTTCAGTGCCAATGTATTTTCGTGGTTTTAATGAACAATTGAAAGGATGTGGTTTTAATGATGAAAGAAAACACTATGACTCTACAGTGATATTGATTTAAATATACAGATTTCTCAGAATTTATTAAAGGTCACTTATATCGTTCCGGTTTTTGCCCATTCGTATGTAAAGGAAAATCAAGTATTAAATTATTTCAGTAAATTTCACGTTCATTGTAAATCTTTATTATCAACAATGACGTTTCGCAAGTCGATGTACTTCACCTTTATACACAAAAACACTTTATTAAAACTATTACATCTTTGTACTTCCTCGCCATTCTCCTTCTATACGTAGTAAAGGTAAAGTATTGTAAAGCCGTAGAGGAAAGTGACAATTTTTTATCAGAAAAAACTTATATTGTGGAGCTTTGAAAATGTGGATAAATTTTCTTCCTATACTTAGTAAATTACTTGTTTTCACAGGTTGTGCACACAGAATCCGATCATTAAGCAAACTTTTTTATTGTCAAGATTAGTAAAATTATTTAAACATTCATGGTATGAACAAATTCTATGAAAATTGTTTTATCTTCTTCCCGTGAAGTAGCGTCAACTAGTGTGCTAGCCAGAGTCAAAAAGAGTAAATGCCTACCTGCGCGAGACCTCGCTGGACTTCTTCCAGAGGTTGCGCAAGAGCGAGCAATTGCTGGGGATCAATGTGCTCAGTCAGTGAATCTGGTCGTGGTTCCAGCACCATCTGCTCCAAGTGCTGAACGCTACTGCGCACTGCCTGCAGCGGTTCAGCCAAAGTTTGTAGAGCCGACAATTGCGCCTGCAATTGATTTTCATTTTTATTATTTATCAATTCCTTTCTGAGTATCTACTCTAAGTTGAATAGATAAATAGAGTTTACTATCTTTTTATTGTAGTGAGAAACCTTTAAGAATGAATATGAAAGATTACTAATGAAAACAAATAAGATAATGATTATATTATGCGATAATACCGGAACAATTTCTGTTTTATTCAATGAAACTTAATTCACACCCAATTGCAGCACTGTTGCACATTGTATATGACAAATCTTTACTTATCACCATGTAAATTATTTGCAATTATTTCACTGACTTGAAAATATAAACTGGCTTTTCTCCTACAAAGGGAAAATAGTTAATTTACATAAGTGTTATGGATAACAATATCAACCTATTACCAATTAAAAAATGTCCCGTTCAAAATTACATACGAGGATTAGACATTTCACATATCATTTTCTACCCTATTTACTCTGTAGCAGATAAAACAAGTGGTGCCGCAACATAATATAATTACTCGTAGTATATGTAACGCTTACATAGTACTAGCTGAACCCAAGAGAATATGTCTGACACATATCTTCCACCAGTGCCGAGTTACTTCACTTAGGGTCCCCCCTTTAGTATTTTTTAATATCATGATTCTAAATGTAAAATCACATGCATTTGTCGTTTTTTTACAGAAGTGGACTACATTTAGTTCGAGTTTTCTATTAAATATAAATATGTAACTGTAAGCAAAATATTATTCAGTTTTCTTATTTGGATACTAGTTGATAAAAATGAAACATCAAACTCATTTTTGTGTATTTAATTTTAAGACATTGAAAAATTCTGTCTGATTGTGAACTATCAGTGTGGTATCACTGTGTTCATGTGCGGTATTACATGAGCCAAAAGCACATGTTCTAATAAAAATCATTTAATCTCAAATGTTAAGAAATCGTAATGTGATCCATCCTTATCATTATGTTAGCAGTAAATAAAGCCGTCAAACTGTTAACGTTAAAATAGTAGTTTTTAGAAATCACTCACTTTTTAACTGTTTTGACGTACAATAAATAAATAAATAGAACGAGATAGTTAAGTGAAAGTGAAAAGAGAAATAGAATAGAAAAAACGTCAAATTGTGCAGCCCCGCCATTACTGCTGAGTGTAATAATACTTATTGCACAATGAGCACTCACTTGCTCGGAGAGAGACCCAGTAGCAGGCTCCATGAGAGCAACCTCCTGCACCATGGCCACACCATGATCAAGTGCTCGAAGTGGCTGCGCCAGAGTCTGAAGCGCAGATAACGAAAGTTGGGAACCTTCTGCCAAAGAACGGTCACCACCTTCAAAGGCTACTTGAGATTCAACCTGCGAAAAAAGACAGGGTACGAGTAACTTTATTTTAAATCTATTTGCTTTGTTTTATCCGTTGCCTGCTTAACATATTAATTTGATTTAAATGTTGTTGTTTAAATAAAATGAGTATAATTAATTTTTAAAATATTATAATTTTTAAACTTTGAGAATAATTGTGTGAAAAAGCATTACGTATTTTAAAATATTCCAGTTATTGGATTATATGTTTTACTTGTGCATGATTTTTAATAAAACATTTATAATCTTAAAACAATTGTTTCCTATACAGGCAGAGTTTGAGAAACAAAGATATATTTCTCAGAACTACACAAGGTATCAACAATTTGGGTACCACGGTTTTACTTTCTCTTACTTTCTAACATGAAGTATCGTAATCGTGCGTCGGAAAATTGCGAGTTTACAACCAAACAACTCTAATTGCCGGGACCTAGTAACAAAAAAGTGAATAAATCTATGCATACTGTTTCTATATGATACTTCCTTCCACTGAGTAATCATAATAGGTTTAGTGGGTACTTAATACTGAAAAATCAATTGATGACAAAACGTCTGACTGTAGTTGAAATCTCTAGAATTAGTTTTCGTTGAAATACGAATTTTCGATATAGATTTTCCCCCCAATTAAATTTGTTCTTCAAAATTAAATATTTAAATAAGATCATCTGTATTTACATGACCTTATTTAATACATTAACTTTGAGTGCGAGTCGTTTTCCTGTATTTTGGCATCAAATAAAGACAATTTTAAAGAAATGTGTAAACAAAATTATCACAACGGCTCCAATTTTTTCCTTTAAATTTTTGTTGGGTAGAGAGAAGGAAGTTTATAAAAATGAGGCAAGTGCTATTGTCCCACTACCTGCATTTTCAAAAATAGTTGAAGTTTTTTTAAAACAACAATAGTCTAAAAACACAAGTTTTGAGGAGAGAAAAATAACGTCAGGTGTTTATGGACTGCTGTTTCGTTGTTGTTGTTGTTTTCAAAACATTAAGGACTATGATTCTTTTACCAAAAGAGACACTGGCCTATGGTTCCTTTTTCACAATCACTAAAATTTTAGGAGTTAATAACTATGGACAGAAGCTGAAGATTTGTTCACAACAACACACTCAGCAAATGGCGGATATGAAGCTCTAGCAATAATTCTAGTATCTCAAAATCTCCCTTTGTGAACTAAATTTTTTTTAAACCTTTCAATTATTTCCAAACTCAAGAAAACGTGCGCTGATTATCATTTCTCCCATACATCACATATAGGTTTAACTTTTTTTACTAAATAAATCTAAATCTAAAACCAAACGTTAAACATTTTATCGGAGTGCTCCTACAATAATTGTAGAATCACGCCGGTATTACAGTTACTGAAATATTCCATAAATATATTTTTTCTTATTAAAATAAATTCTTCAATATAATGAACTGATACCGTTATTCTCATTTGAAAATGAATGGGCGGATCCATCGGTGGCCTGGTAGTATAGGGGTATGATACTAACTTTTGGAGAAAATATCAGGGAAACTTAAATGCGGCTTGCTAGAACGTGGTCTAATTTTGCATAAGTCGCGAGGCATCCCGCCCGCAGGATGCTCGGCAAAACCCCGTGCAGGATGGCTGGCATGCAGATCTAAGCCCGACCTCTCGAATGCGAAGTCAGCGGGCTACGTCCTGAGCCACTTGGCTTAGTAATCTTTGTCCTACGATGCTGTAGATGATTATGAAAAAAAAAGTTCGTTGATTTAATATTAAAAACATATAATTTTCTTTTAGCAGAAATTAGAAAAGAAATGAATCATGATTTTTTAAAAATTAATTTCAAGATTTTTAACATTTGTCGTAATCGAAAACGTCTTATTCAATTGAACGCAGATAATGAAAAAAATAATTTTTAAACAAAAAGCATTCAATATTACAAATATTCTTTAGCACCAGCAATTACTTTATCAGTCTTAAAAGAACTGATAATTCTTGATAACCAAATGAAATTTTAATGTAAAATTTGTTTTAAGTTCATATTTCACAATGTCATTCCATTATTGTACATTTGCAATATAATACAAATGGGAAAAAATGGAACTTTTTGAAATGGAACGGTCATCTCGCCGATTGGTCAGTTGGTTTACGCGATACGGTTCCAATTGCTCATTCACACAGATGCTCCCCTTGCAAGGCCTTGCCGAAAATGGGTCTTCTTCTCATCCATCCTTAGCCCCCTGCACTTGCAGTCGAGTGCTCCCGAGATCAGTTCAAGTGAACAAATGCGGTGCAGGCCGTGTGGTGATTGCCATTTCAGAACCAGGATTTGCCCATTTTTTGTGTCACGCTCGTCTCTCAATATACCTGTATACATTTGAGAAGGAATAAAAGACTGGACTCCTGGCCTGTTTGTCTAGGGGTTCAACACTAGTTTTGATCTCGGTGCTCCAGAGTACAAATCATAAACATGACATCATGACATCATTCTTCTTCTTCTTCTTCTTCTTCTTCTTCTTCTTCTTCTTCTTCTTATTATTATTATTATTATTATTATTATTATTATTATTATTATCATCATCATCATCATCACCATTATCATCATCATTATTTACGTCAGAAACAGTTGAAAACTGTGTGTGACGTGCTTTGGTGAGAAGTTATTTTAAAGTTACATTGATATCCAGAAGCAAAACAAGGGGATATCTCAGCATTTCCTCAATGATCAGAGAAATTAAAATCTGATCCTCAAGAACAAGAAAAGTGCTCCAGGAAGCTTTGAGAGAAGAAAAATATTTCAAAAAATAACAAAACACTTCCATAAAATTTCAATCCAGTTTTTTATTATTATTTTAGTTTTAAAAATGTCCAATGTATGACTGTTAAAAATAAATTGTGGACAAAAATATAATAAAGAAATGTACTTTCCCAATAAGCTTGTATTTATTATTATTATTATTATTATTATTATTATTATTATTATTATTATTATTTTTGTTGTTGTTGCCTGTGATTTTGGCAGCCTGAGAATTTTGCGCCTCAAAAAATACTCGTCCGTCCTATGAAAGGAGCTGTCGCAGTGATACTTCACCTGCGCGACGTAGAGGCGGAGCTCTTGGACGGGTGAGGCGAGCGTCTGCAGGGCCGAGAGGGCCGTCTTCTCCGTGAGAGACTCAGCGCTCGCGGTCAAGGCCACCACGTGCTGCACCTGCGCCAGCGCCTTGTGCAGCTCATGCGTGGGCGCTGCGAACGCCTCCACGGCGTCCTGGGCGGCCTTCTGCGGACTCACCACGCCGAGGGCCACCTGCACACACATACACACACACACACATTCTTGTTTACTATTGGTTGGATGTGAAAATCGATTTCAAGTTATCGACTGTGCCCACGGCCCATATCGCGTTAGTTCGACTATCGACGTCACTCCTATTTCGATTCTCGATTTTCAGTTTCCGTACTGTGATTGGTTCATTTATTGTGTCTAACTTAATCATAAGCACAGAAGCTTGCGAGCTTTTAGGTGAACGTCGTACGTGTTATGCTTATGTGACCGCATTGTGAAAGAGTCCGCCTGTGGACGTAGTCCTAACTTTTATGTTAACGCCATGCCTATGTTTATTTTTGCATTGTGAATGGGCCTTAACAGTGAACTATGACCCATGTTATCAACTGGTAGGAGTTTTGACACTAACTAGCTTGCCAGGTCGAATTCAGATGCAGTCTGGGGGAGACTTCAAGCGGCCTGATGCTCCGATCGGTAGTTTACCGTGGTTTCTCCGATTAATGCCAGACAAATGCCGGAATAGCGTCGTAACTACGGATCACGGATTGCCCGCGATCTTTCCTTATTCTTCCTTGTCCTATCCTTTCCACTCACACACAATTACATGCAGTGCCACAGTGGTGTATATTACGTAATTCAGAACTGGCAAAGGTAAAGGCGAACTGTTGGTTTTAGTGTCCAACAGTGGAATGTTTTAGACTCGGATGTGATATACCCCTCTTTCACAAGAGTAAAAAAGGGTAATCTGCAGAGGTAATAAGGGTTTGTTTGTTTCCTTCAAAATGGAATACAACTGTGAAAAGTGACTGCAGATTATTCATATATTCTTCGAAGATTTTCTAATGGTGGTATTCATTTCGAATGGTGATATCTTCTCTTCTATTCCTCTTGCTCATGTATTTGATATGAAAAATACACACGGCAGATTGAAATTATTTCTGCTGCATGTAATCTATAACAAATACGAATATGTAGAGAAACGCATCTACGATACATGTTGTTTCCTCTGTAAGTGGGACAGCAGGGACAATGCTAATCACTACGTGAAGATGTTTTGGCCATCTAGAATGGTCCTAGAGCCAGGAAAGAAGAATGTGATTCAATACTCTTTACTACAATCTACAAATATATTTTTATCCCCTCTGCACATCAAGTTAAGCCTTATGAATAAGTTTTCAAGACGATAAATTTAACTGAAACGCATTTTTACTCCTTAAGCAGAAATCCTATAAACTGTCTTTCTATGAAATACGAGGGTATATCATAATGAGAATCTCGTTGAAGTGCTGCTAACATATTATTAACTAAGTTGTAAGATGTCTTTGAACAACTATTCTTATTTAGTCATTTCCCCCAAAAAGTCGTGGCGCTGTAAGTGATGACCATGTAGAACGATTTCATCAATATAGTACAACACTGGAGAAAAGATATAACAGAAAACGGAGCCCATAAATTCCGGCAGATTACATTGGACATTATTACGAGATTGTGCCGGAGCAATTTTCGAATAGACAGGTCAAGAAAGCACAACTGCAATGCTTCAGTGTATACAAGGAAAGAACAATTAGTGAGTTATATCTCCTAAACAAAAGCTAACAAAGTAAAATAATTGCCATAGTCAATCTCAATAATCGATTTATAGAGAATCTGACCCATTTTGATTCACAGAAATGTGTGCAGCTGTGCACGTGGCCCACCCACCTGCTGCTGCACCTGCGCCACCCCGCGCTGCAGCTGCTCCGCCTGCGCCTGGAGGGCGCGCACCACCTGGCAGGCGGCGGCCTGCGTCTCGGACACGGCCTCCAGCACCAGCTGCTCCGTGGCCACGGCCAGGCCGCGCTGCAGCTGCTGCACCGGGGCCGCCAGCGCCTCCAGCAGCGACGCGCACTGCGCCTGCGACAGCGGCGGCGCCTCCAGCGCCACCTGCACCTGCACCGGCGCCGTCGCCTTGGGCTTGCGTGCTTTGCTCCTCTTTTTGGAGGTAAGAGATACTGGTTATCATTAGAAGCTTTCTTTACTCTAAATGACAGTGTCGTCCTTCAACGTTATGGGATGTTTTCACAACGATTCGAAACGTGATTGTTGAATCAATTCTTCAAAAACTGGATTATATAGTCTATATATTTTCCTTCAATTACATTACCATTTATTCTGAGGTCCGCTGCTTTCTCCCCCATTGGTTTTCTTCGGGTACTGAAATCGCATTGGTAAGTGACTTACACGCCCTTGCTTCTCAAAGATGCGGGGATTGCCGATGTGAAGCCTAAACTTCGATTTAACACTTTGTGAAAAGCCTCTTCTCAGGTCTCTTTAGGGAAAGTGTGTATATATATATATATATATATATATATATATATATATATATATATTTACACACTTGGGGTCTACATTGTATGACCTTAAAGAAAAAACTGCTAATTACAACTGTCCTTAAACATTTTTACCAAACACCCCTCATTTCACTTAACATCTTCACTAGCAATACTACAAATTTTTATGTCACTGTCATTAATGGGAATTTTGCACTGACTTCGTTCTGTCATATCCGAATCTTCGAACTTCGACCTCCGCGATTAATACAAAACCCACTTGAGTCTGCCCAACGCAAAATTTTCTACATATTTTATTTTAAAGCAGTTTTATGTCAAACATTTATTCCGAACAGAAGACGTATGGAAAATGTTACATATAAATGCGTTCCTTGGCATGCATTTAAAATTTCATTTATAAATTTCTACTAACGTTTTACAAATAAGCAGCACTTCCTGTACGCAGCCTTAATCCCTATAGCTTTGCTTCACCTTGCATTCATTCAATATTTACTATATTTGTTTTTTAAAATATAAGTAATTGAATTTACTTAAGTTTACTTTTATATGTTTATATTTCAAAATTTACAACAGATTTTTTTCTTTACAGCACTGAATATGGTTGTTAACGCAGCCGACAATGCTTACTGCATGACTAACCTCCTGACGTGACTGTGTCGTCATCACTGTTTTTTGTGTGATTATGTGTACGCACATGCGTCCTCACCTGCGCCTGCGCCAGGCCGCGCTCCAGCGCGCGCAGTGGCTCGGTGACGGGCTGCAGGGCCGAGGCGGCGACGGCGGCGGCAGCCGGCGGCAGGGCGGCGGCGGTCTCCAGCGCGCCCGCGGCGGGCTGCGCCTGCGCCAGGGCCGTGCGCAGCTCTCGCGCAGGCGCCTGCAGGGCCTTCAGGTCGCCCTGCACGGCCTCCGCGGCCTGCGCGCTCTCCAGCCCCATGTGATGTTCCATCTGAGCGAAAAGGCGAACACAATATTTACTGTCTCCAAAACACACGTGTAAAATTTAGTAGTACTTACTAACATTCTGCTGAGTTATACGCCTTATTGCCAATTCTCTTCTACTTCAAACTTGTGAAGTCACACGTACGGAATATCACAATTTTGTGGTACAATATTGTAGTTTCCAAATATAATCACTAAATATAATTATGATTAATTTTCAATCCACATCTAACTTGATGTTAATAAATACAATCATCCCAATATTCCATTTTTGATCAACCCTCCTTTCTTCCCCCTCTACCCCCCCCCCCTCCCCCTCCCTCCTTCCCCTCCTCTACCCCTCCCCCCACTCCCCCCCCCCCCCTCCCGCACCCTCCCACCCTCGACGTTCTCTGATCACTCATTACTAGCTTGCCCAAGTCGAATATCCAGATTCGCAGTCCTGGGGCACTTCACGCGGCCCTGATGCTCCGATTCGTCAGTTTACCGTGGTTTCTCCGATTAATGCCCGACAACATGCCGGATTACGCGTTCGCTCATACGATCACGGATTGCCCCGCGTCTTTCCTTATTCTCCTCCTGTGCCCCTATCCTTTCCACTCACACACAATCTAATGCCAGTGCCACAGTGGTGTATACTACGTAATGTCAACTGGCCCCACAACGGGTAAAGCGCGAACTTGTTGGTCTTCGTCAGAGTGTCCAACAGTGGAATGTTTTAGATCGGATGTGATCATACCCTCCTCATTACAAGAGTAAAAAAGGTTAATCTGCAGACGGTAATAAGCGGTTTGCTCTGTTCTCCCTTCGAAAATGGAATACAACTCGTTGAAAAGTGCACTGCAGATTATTCATATATCTCTTTCGCAAACATTTTCTCAATGGTGGTATTCATTCTCGAAACTGCGTGATATCTTCTCTGCTATTCCTTCTGCTATGATCATTTGATAGCGATAAACAGACACCCCAGGCAGATTGAATATTATTTCTGCTGCATGTCAATCTCATACATACACATACCGAATATTCGTAGAGGAAAACGCCTCTTCCGATACTGTCTGTCTTCCTCTGTAAGTGCGGCACAGCAGGGACAATGCCTACATCACTACGTGAGATGCTTTTCGCGCCATCTAGGAATGTTCTAGAGCCAGGAAAGACAGACATCGTGATCTCAATACTCCTTCTTACTACAATCTACAATATATTTTTCATCCCCCTCTGCACCATGCACGTAAGCCTTATGAATAAGCTTTTCAAGACGATAAATTTTAACTGACAACGCATTTTCTTACTCCTTAAGAGACACAATCCTATACACCTTCTATTGAAATACGAGGGTAGTTCATACATCGAATCTCGTTTGAAGGCTGCTAACATCATTAATTACAAGTGTACATGTTCTCCTTGCACACCCTTCTTATTTAGTCATTCCACCAAAGTCGCTGGCCGCTGTCAAGTGACCTGTGACCACTCAGAACGATCGTTTCATCAATATACGTACCAACACTGGAGAAAGATATAATCAGAACCCGGAGCCCTGCATAATTTGCGGCAGATTCATTTGGACATTATGGCGAGTGTTGCGCGTTTGGGGCACGAGCCTAAACTGACTTCTGGCGTGATGGATTTCGCTCGATTCTCTCCAACCAGTGATTACTCTCACGATTTGGCATATTAACCCCGTGTACATCATTGTCAAATATAATTGCCTTCCATTTCTGTGTTCACTACACAATAAAAGATTGCATTCGCAGTAGTTGGTGGCGATCCTCACGAAGAGCCAGCGCCTTACCAATAAGAGTGTGCTAGCCAGAAAAGAAAGACAGTCTCATTCGGAGCTCAAGATCTTACCTACGTCTACGCCATAAAACGCGCTCTACCGCTCACTATAGACAGTAGCATTGTTCTCCACGAATAATAATCTTCTCACCTCTATAACCTATTATTCGCTCGCTCGAAGAAGTCTACAAGGTAGAATACATCTGTGATATCTCTCAGGATAGGGAATTTGAAACCTACGCCTCCGCATTCACAAGAGGAATCCTAGTGTGTACGTCTACGAGAACGTGATTGACGGGTGAAGGTTTGACCTGTGTCTGCCTCACTGTACATGCGGCACGGCCACCCCTAGACCCGCAGCGACCTCCTCAGCGCCTTCTCCAGAATATCTCTTTAAAATAGATTTTCCCTTGCGTATATCAATACAGTCTTAAACATTAAAGCTTAGACGCCAGAACGGCAATCTGCCTCACACCCACTCTTCAGCGCCTTCGTGGCCTCGAGCTTTTCAGTTTTGTGCCGTTTACCTCGGACTGCACGCACTCCATCCGTGATTTGGTGTCAGTATATCGCGGCACATAAACCTGCTCCAGCGCAGCGAGCTGAATTTGTGCACGTTGGACTGTGAATTGTGTGGAAACTATGCCTTCTACTTTAATTAGCCCACATTGTCTACGCACCGGGTCGTCGCTGCACGCGCCGGTTTCCGCGTGCTAGTCTGGCGCACTGGCCGCGCTGCAGCTTAGACGCATTCGGCCATCCATGCACCGGAGCGAGTGTCTTGCTCTCTCGCTATGAGTCTGTATCAGCTTCGGCGCTACTCTCCTGAGCGACGCTCACTCAAATGTGTGTGCAAGCTAGTCGCTTGTGTCAAACGAGTTCTTGACGCTCACGCAACCTCTCGCGCTACAATCACGAGTACGAGCATTTTCCAAAAATCTTTCGACCTCTGCAACACATTTGAATCATAACCATGCGAGCGTGCTCTCTTCGTAGCGGCTTCTCATATGGGGACTTTCTAATGGGGAAGATATCGTTTGTTGTCTGGAACATTTATGTCTACCATCATTTCTCATGCGATTGGAGCTCTCACGCAATGTCTCAATAAATTCTGAAGCTATTACGTACCTGATATTTATATTGTATGTGCATAATATCATCAACACTGTTACTATGAAAGTGTGTTTGAAAAACAGCCATATCTAAATGTGAGATTCATTTGGGTCTGCCTTAATCTATCATAGAATCGACATAGCATAGCTGGTAATCCTCGTCGTGAGGATATGAGATTCCTCACATATTTCTCTAACACAGTTGACTTGAATATTAAAACCTCGTGTACTGTTCACTTCGTTCAATAACACAAACAATTTCTGCGTGATATTCTCTTCAGAGTCCTCTCAGGTACTACGTGATCTCGACCTGTCTCTCCTGTCTGAACGTTCGTGAACACGCCCTGTCAGCCTTTGGAGAAGATCGATGAAGTGCTCCCGCTCTTCTAGAGCTTGTGATGGCGGGGCGGCTTTGCCGCTCGCAGCTCCGGCATCAGGCGCAATATGTGCCGCGAGCCGCTCGGGTCGGCTGCGGCAGCCCTGATAGTGTCGGCCGCGCTCGTGCTACCTCGCGTCGCCTGTTCGGAGCAGTCTGCTCCAGCAGGCCGCTGTCGGAGCTGCCCGCCTGTGGACATGAAGCGCCTTGCGCGTTGATCTCAACGCAGCGCAGCGGCCGGACGATTTGGCCCGAGGGGTGCGGCCGGGTCGTAATAGCTGAACCGCGAGACTGTGACGGGCCCATGCACCTCCTTGACAGGACAGACCTCTTCATGTCTATAGCACCTGGTTGTCGGACAACGACACTGGACGGACCATCTCGTGATGTCCTAGAGATAGATGCTCGGCGCTCGTGAGGCGGCAGAAGCGTGAGGTGCGAGGAGATCGCCTCAGCTCAGCTTTGCGGCCACGTCTCATGCTACACAGCTAAGGTGAGACGCCGTGCGCATCCCTACGCACTCGTCCTAACTCGTGCGGCGATAATTAGCAGCAGTTGCCCGAAGTACTCGAAAGTCGGCCGAAGAGCAGTGAAATAGGCTGCTGAATTATAACGCGTTACTTAGGTAAGGCTTATTAGATCGCCTTTGAGCCTCGGTGAATACCTCAACCGTCTTACACCAGGCTCAAGCTTTGTGGGGTTACGTGATCAGATTGTGCTTCACATTGGACCTAGCGCTCAATAAGACATAACGTTCACAAGAAAATATACCATGCCAATTGCTCACTCTAGATCGGAGTACTAGCGCATTCCTATACGAGCAGCTATTTCATCCGCTTGGAAAAGCGCATCCACACTGCTCTAACATTTTCGAAACCATGCTGGACTCTAACCAAACAACAACTGCTCACAATAATGGCTCTCTCGAGGCTGCGATGGACTTCATAAGTGAACTCACCCAGAACTCTTTCATATTGAACTGTATAGAGCAAGCATAATCTGCATGTCCGTGCGAGACAAGCTATAGCTCATGCATCTGAGCTAGAATCGGCTCTGCACTATGCTCTATATTGGATGGCCCTCCGTCCGAAGTATCTAGATAGTGCTATTTAAGACCGCCTTCAGAACACTTTTCACCGGCTCGTTCTCGTGTAACTCATCGCAGAGCCACTATAGAGACTATCGCTCTGTGCTCTTCAGACGGAGCACCAAAATCGATATTCTGAGTGCCTTGCTTCTATCATTATTGATTGCGCAGGTCAACCAGCAGGCAGCTCCTCTCACTCACTCTAACATTGTGTCGAGCACACTCATGCAAATATATATTAGACTTGGGAAGCGACTCCAGACAACCGAGGTATGCGGCAACGTAGATAGGGCGCACAGTATCGTTCGTGATCGTCTCTCGCGCTGGCCGATTGCTCCGAGGTCGCTCTCTCAATAATGATAACTCGATAAAGTTATGCAAGGTGTGTGTTTCTAACTCATCATACTACTGTTCTCTCCTCATCGAGTCCTGGCATGATTAGGGCGAACGGACTTCGTCCACTAGTGCTGAACTGAGCTACGCTTTCACTGACTCTCGTCGCCCTGATAGGCGTACTCCAGGGGCTTTCGCATGCCTTCTACTCTCTCTGTGGTGTATTCTTATTCAAGTAGTGTGCTGTTTACGTACTCTCTCTGAATCGTCTCTCCATATTCTAAGTACTAATCATACTAGAAACTCATCTCATTCCCTTGCATTACTATGAGTCTCCGGTGGTAATCGTAGTGTTGAGTGCGAGTTTTATTATAATTCTATGCCTCCGCTAAAGATCTCATAAATGAGTCAACCACCGCGATTTTACAACTATCTCTCTGTGCCTTCCTCGAGAAAATCTGACGTGCGCTTCCCATGCGCGCATCTGTTCAACCAGACTATATGATTGCGGGCGGCCGCAGCTCGAAGCGTTAAACGTTTGCACGTTTCGCGTGGGCGCGATGCATGCGCACGATAATCGCACGCAGTGCATCAAAATATTTTCATCCTTCTCATATCCCCGGTGATTTTGCCTTGGGTCGACTGCAGTGAAGTAATTCATTAGTGGTTTCTATTTTCCCGTAGATCTATCTCTGAATTGTGTGACGTTGTATACTTGCATTACAACACACTGACTGGGGCTTTTTCTCTATTGCTCGGACGGCGTCGATGACCACCTGTGTGGTGCTCGCAAGTTGTTAGCCTTTAGCTAAAGTTCGACCCGCTAAGTGTCGTGTCTACGGCGGCCGACACCTAGTGCGTAATAGGTGTTTGTCACCGTGCATCTTACAGACAGGTGTTCAGAACACAATTGTTCCGTGCAAGCCTAGATTCCGCCACTGCGCGCTCTCGTGTGACGTCCTCACGTCTCCCACGGTGCGCCAAACGTAGGTCGCGTACTTCCAGGTACTTCCAGATTGTTCTGGAAATGCTGAGCTAACTCCGCTAGAGACATAGTCGGTGAATTTTCGTGGTAACCATAACTCGCAGCTATATGGACTAGCGGCCCCTTCGGCTGCCTGGCCCGCATCGCGCCTCGCGACAGTGACTCTCTTTGGCTTCCCCGTCCCCCGGGCTCCGTCGTGTCTTGCGCTGTTGCGCTCTCCTCAACGGCTACAGGCGACACACTTACTCGCTGACTGGGCCTTCAGGGTCGCCCTCCATCTGAATACGCTCGCGCTCTTCCTGCACGCACCGGGTGCCCGCATTTCTAGCTCGCGATCTGTGCTTACTGACCCTCCATTTTAAACATACTATTGGTGTCTAGACTGTATTTCTCATTCAGATTTCATTGAGAGATAGAATCTTCAACAAACAGGAGATACGAAATACACATTCCACTCTTTTATAAATTAAGTTTATTTTAAATCAATTGGTATAAACGTCTCTATACACAATTTTAAGCGATAGTTTGCTTAACATTGAAGGCAGTGGACTCGACATGGTGAAAGCGTTCATTTCTAACTGTAGTGTTATGATTACAAAATCATGTCACCAACCTGGAGGTGTCGTGTTTCCAAGAAAGTCAGTTGTGCCGACCAGCCGGGTCTTTGGTACTCATCGGCCTTTGCAGGCGGCCGACTCGAACGTGGCGCATGAGGCGGTGTCGATGCCGGCGCTCCGTCATTGCGTGGGCGACCTAGGCCGCTCGTCGGCACTGCAGTGGTCGTCAGGCTCTCTCGCGCAACTCCTGTGCCGCTGGCTCACGTCGTGCAGAGGCTCGATTAGCAGCCGCCGCAGCGACGACTGCATGCAGCGTCGCATAGCCATCGCACCTCTGCGACCAACACGACAGATGGCGGACTCGTCTCGCGCGTTACGCCTCAGCAACTGCGCCCCTTGTCCGCCCGCGCCTCGTCACGCCCTTGTATCCATGCCGAGAGCTCCAAGCGTGTTGTCAATTGCACCTAAGAACGTGATGTACACCTGAAAGAATTGGTCCACATGATAGTTAGGCTACGAGTGAGTTCTCTGTCACAAGACGGTCTACCGTAGCTCTGACTCATACTACCGTCACAATGCGGCTCGTGAACGGCATGTGCAGCGGTTCGCATTATCTCAGATTACAGAGCTAACACATCTAAGGTCCCAAGGTGTGCTCAGCATGGTGCCTGCCTTTTTTTTCGTGCTCTCTCTGCTCTCACTCCTCGCTCGTGTGGCATATGAAGTCCGCCCACCTGCTCCTTCCGATACTCTGGCTTACCCTCCGATTTGCCTGTCCCTAAGCATTGCGACCCTTCGATGGTCGGCATCTACGGTTCGCTCTCTCGCGCCTACCTACCTAATAGTTCGCTAACCGCGCTTGCACTTTCTCATACTATTTCTCAACGAACTTCTCTTTTTTCCTCTCTAAGTCAACCTTTCTCACTCTCAAGGTGATTACTGAGCTTCCTGAGCATTGTTTATATAAACTTAACTGATTCTTATATAATAGAGTATATCTCTGGTGAATTAGATGTCTCACGGGTGGAGGCATGTCAGTGTACATTCAGGTCTCCCATACGCTGGTGTTTAAATCCTGTGAATGCCACTACGCGGAGGCGGCAGGCGTTGATGAGCCCTCAAAAGATGCAGGCAATATCAACCAGGCGCTCGCCGAGTGTCTCAGCTTCACTTGAAGCCACGCTGCGAGACAGAGATAAGCATAGATGGGCAGCAGTCCATGGACCCCGCGGCAGCAGGCGAAGACAGCTGCGCGAGGTGCACGACTACCCTGCAAGGAGCTGCAGCGTGAATCTCGACCAGATACACATGAAGCAGGCGAGCGCAGTGCGCACACCGCTCGCTACTCTCGATACGTGAAGCCACGTTTCTGCGAACCCATTTCAGCCTTATTCCGTGAAGGAGATCGTCGCAGGCGAATCGCACTATCAGGTACCACGTCTCTACTCTAACATCTATCGCAAAACGAGTATTTCATATATCTATATTTATATAATCATTATATATATATAATATTAATATTTAAAATATTAAACATAATAACTATTATAAATTACTCCACTTTTGTCAGAATTGTAGTTGTGAGTTAGACTGTTATTATACGTTTATATGTAAACCTGGTCAATATCCCTCACTATTCCTTGATTATGATACACCTTTATCTCTATTCCTAATCCTTCATTGTTGCTTTTGCTTTGATTATCTCCTTCATCATAAATAAATCAGTTTATTAGTAGGCAGGATTTAACATTGCCCGGCCTGATCCTTCTCGTGAATTCAGTTCAAAATTTAATTTACAACTAGTACATCTCTCTCATGGAAAACGGGCTAATTGTAAAGACACACGTACACATTTTAGGGAAGAGTTCCTCATACAGGATGCCTGACAGGAGTGCGGAACTAGATAAC